AATTCAGATTCCATAGTTGAGTGTGTTATACAAGTTTGTTTCTTTGATTTCCAAGAAATAGCCCCACCACCAAGAGTGAACACCCAACCCGATGTGAATTTACTTTCACCCATGCTAGATATCCAACTAGCATCCTTAAATCCTTCTAATACCGCCGAGAATTTAGAGTATTGAAAACCTAAGTTCTTGGTTTTATTTAAGTATCCCAGAACTCTTCCAATGGCATTCCAATGTTCATTGCTCGGGTTACTAGTAAACCTACTAAGTTTACTAATGGCAAATGTCACATCCGGTCTGGTGCATTGTACTGCATACATTAGACTTCCTATTGCACTTGCATACTCCAATTGAGCAATGACCCTTCCATCATTCTTTTACATTCAAGTGTTTGAACTTGTTAATCACATTCTCGATATAATGTGATTGACTTAGGTAGTAACCCCCGCTAGTCTTAGAGACTTTGATACCCAATATGGTATCTACTTGTCCAAGATCCTTAATTTTGAATGTGGAAGACAGAAACCTCTTCGTTTCTTTAATCTCGTCCATGTGATTACTCATAATCAACATGTCGTCAACATATAAGCATATAATTGTCAAATAATCTTGCATACTTTAGTATATAAGCATCTANAATTCAGATTCCATAGTTGAGTGTGTTATACAAGTTTGTTTCTTTGATTTCCAAGAAATAGCCCTACCACCAAGAGTGAACACCCAACCCGATGTAAATTTACTTTCACCCTTGCTAGATATCCAACTAGCATCCTTAAATCCTTCTAATACTGCCGGGAATTTAGAGTATTGAAAACCTAAGTTCTTGGTTTTATTTAAGTATCCCAGAACTCTTCCAATGGCCTTCCAATGTTCATTGCTCAGGTTACTAGTAAACCTACTAAGTTTACTAATGGCAAATGTCACATCCGGTCTGGTGCATTGTATTGCATACATTAGACTTCCTATTGCACTTGCATACTCCAATTGAGCAATGACCCTTCCATCATTCTTTTACATTCAAGTGTTTGAACTTGTTAATCACATTCTCAATATAATGTGATTGACTTAGGTAGTAACCCCCGCTAGTCTTAGAGACTTTGATACCCAATATGGTATCCACTTGTCCAAGATCCTTAATTTTGAATGTAGAAGACAGAAACCTCTTCGTTTCTTTAATCTCGTCCATGTGATTACTCATAATCAACATGTCGTCAACATATAAGCATATAATTGTCAAATAATCTCGCATACTTTAGTATATAAGCATCTATCTATGCTATTGTGTTTGAAACCAAATGAAATTATGCCTATATCAAACTTCTCACGCCATTTCTTAGGTGCTTGTTTTAATCCGTTCAAGGATTTCACTAACTTGCACACCTTTTGTTCATTTCCGGGTAGAGCAAATCTTTCGGGTTGTTCCATATAGACCTCCTCATCGAGATCCCCATTCAGGAATGCCGTCTTGACATCCATTTGATGAACATGCAAATCATATATCGAAGCTAGAGCAAATAATATCCTAATAGATGTTATTCTAGCTACCGGTGCATATNATTTCTTAGGTGCTTGTTTTAATCCGTTTAAGGATTTCACTAACTTGCACACCTTTTGTTCATTTCCGGGTAGAACAAATCTTTCGGGTTGTTCCATATAAACCTCCTCATCGAGATCCTCATTCAAGAATGCGTTTTGACATCCATTTGATGAACATGCAAGTCATGTATCGAAGCTAGTGCAAATAATATCCTAATTGAAGTTAATCTAGCTATCGGTGCATAAGTATCAAAATAGTCAATTCCTTCCTTTTGTTGATAGCCTTTAGCTACTAATCGTGCCTTAAAAGTGTTAAGAGATCCATCAACATTTTTCCTAAACACCCACTTACATCCAATAGGTTTGGATCCGGGTGGCAAATCGTGATATTATCAAATCCATTTCGTCCTTGATTGCATCTTTCCAAAAGATGCTATCACGAGAAGCCAAAACTACTCCATAAGTCTTAGGATCGGTTTCCACTTGTAGAACAAAATGAGTTGTTCTTACAACATTCATCTCATTTCCCTCTACTAAGTAAGAGGAAATGAGTTGAAAATCAATTTCATCTGATCCCAAGAACTTCTTAATCCGAGTTCTTTTACTTCTTCGTGGTTCACTAGATTCATCAACATCTTTAGAAGGTATTTCTTCTCGTGTTCCACTTGAGCTAGGAATATCTTTCTGATTTTCCCTCAATTCAATATCTGAAGATAGCGAATTCTCAAAGAACTCCACATCGTTGGATTCGATAATCACATTGGTCTCCAAATTCAATAGTCTATAGGATTTACTATTACTAGCATATCCTATAAAGGCACATTTAATGTCTCTGGACCCAATTTGGTCCTATTAGAGTTCGTGTTCTTGCAATAAGCAAGACATCCCCACACTTTGAAGTATCCAATATTAGGTTTTATCTCTTTTCATAATTCATAAGGAGAAACCTTAGTTTGTTTTGAAGGAATCCTATAAAATATTCTACATGCAATCAACAAAATGTTCTATTTTTTCTTTCAGTCAGGCCATTTTGTTCGAGTGTCCTAGGTGCAGAACATTAGTGAATTATGCCATGTTGTTCACAAAACATATTGAAATCACTAGAGAAGTACTCGCCACCTCTATCACTTCTTAAAGTTTTTATTTTCTTTCCTAAGTGATTTTCAACTTCACTTTTATACACTTTAAACATATCAAAAGCCTCATTTTTATGTTTCATAAGATATACATGTGTATCTAGAAAAATCATCAATGAAGGTAATAAAGTATCTATTACCACCTCTAGTTAACATGTCATTTAATTCACACATGTCACCATGAATTAATTCTAATATGCTAGAGGTTCGTTTTATACTTTGATATGGTCTTTTAGTCATTTTTGCTTCTACACATACTTTGTACTTATGTTCGTCATTTTCATCATATGAAATCATATCATTTTTCATCATTCTTTTCATAGTGCTTTTACCGATATGTCATAATCTAGCATGCCACAATGAAAAGGAATCAACGATATAGGCAAAATCAACTTTATTATTCATAACTTTGTCAACGGTACATAACTTGATCATTCCTTCACTAGAATAGCATTTACCAACAAATTTCTCATTAAGGGATAGTATAAGTTTTCCGGATTCATAAACACATTTTATGCCCGGTTTTCCCAAAAGATTACCACTAACTAAATTCTTATTCATATCAGGAACATGAAGTACATTGGTTAAGGTAACGGTCTTCCCGGAAGTGAAGATGATATCAACATTTCCCTTGCCAATTACTTTAGATCGCACCTCGTTGTCCATTTGAATCGCTTGGTCTCCATCAATTTCATGATAAGTTTTGAATAAAGACTTATCATATGATACATGAATAGTTGCACATGTATCATACCACCAACCGAGAACCTTTCCCTTAATAACATAGACTTCACTAATAGTGGCCACAATTTTATCTTCTTTGATGGAATTCACTTTATCCTCGAAGTTGTTTTGTTTCCAGTGTCTACACTCCTTTGCATAATGTCCAGGTTTTCTACAAACAAAACACCCTCATTTGGTCTTTTTCTTGGACTTGTTGAAGTTCCTTAAAGGCTTCATTTTGTTGGAATTTGGAGGCAGTTCAGTTTTCTCCACTACATTGACTTTGGAAGTATCTTCATAAGAATTTTCATTCTTATCTCGCATTCTTGATTCTTTGTCAATGCGCAAGTGTTTCTGCAATTGTTCCAAAGAATAATTCTCGGAACTATGCATTATCTTCTTCCGGTATCCTTTCCAAGTTCTGGGGAGTTTAGCAATTATAGCCCCCACTTGAAAAGTCTCCGGGATTTCAATCTTTACCGTATTTAACTTGTTGACAAGCACTTGTAGTTCATGCATTTGTGGAAGTAATGCTATGTTTTCAAGAAATTTAAAATCAAAGTATTTGGAAATTAAAAATTTCTGCGTACTTTCCTCTTCCGCTTTATACTTACTTTCAAGAGCATCCCATATCTTCTTCGCTGATGCTGTGTTGGTGTACAAATCATACAAACGATCTGACAATGCATAGAGGATGTGACCACGGCAAATCAATTTATCTTCTTGTCACTTTTGTCGTTCCGCTTTTATAGCCTCAACTTCTCCTTGTGTTGCTTCTGGTAACGATGCCAATTCCAGATCAAGAATGTAGAAAATCTTCAATGCCGTTAGTAGGAATTTGATCTTGTCTTGCCACCGATTGAAGTTAGCACCATCGAAACGATCCAAGCGAACTAAATATTGATTCATTAATTTTATTGTTGTCATTGTTGTTTCACTCTCCATCGCAGAAATATAGTTTGAAATTTGTTGGTAACGGCACCGGGGTTGGATAAGAAACTCACCAAAGTATGCAGCAATATGGTGAACAGAGCACGAACAAATCGGAATCAAGAATTAAAGGTTCAAACGCGTGATCGCTGTCCTCAAACTATATTTGCCCCCTCTCAGAATTGGTTGAGATGCTTAAAAGTTTTCCGACAAATGGTTTGAAGGATTAATCAAGCCTTGTTGCAGAAAATACCAAAGCACAAAGTATTTTCCACCCAAACTTGAAGAACACGAATGGATGAATGAATATGAAGAAAGTTTATTATGCTGTGGAATAATAATAGATTCAACAAATGACTTTTCATTATCTTATTTCATGAACAAGATCACATATTTATAAGCTACCAATATTCATCACGAAATGGTGCCAAAACCATGCTAAAAAGCCACCATAATTAAAACCCAAACGGTCAAAAAATTGGAGAAAAACCGACTCCCAATGGTCCTTCTGGCGCATGGGCGCCTCATGGTAGCGTAGGGGCACTACAGTTCTCGGGTGAGAAATACTTCCAATTGGGCGCGAGGGCGCTTAGTTTTTTTAGAGCCTGTTTGGTACAGATTCTCATTTTCTACAGTAAATCAATTCTCATTTTCAACCACACATTCTTCAATAAAATAATATTTTTCATCAAATCAATACTTTTTTCTTATTTTTCAATCACACATTTTCCA